CTCGTGGGATGAATCGCGTCCCAATACATCTCCTGATCTCCTCCTCTGCCGGCCTTGGCGCTGAACCCGTGCTCGGTAGGATTCTCCAGCATCCGGTCAAACGTGGCATGTGCATCAAACATGAAGACAGACGCGTCAGGGTGTGCTTGAGCGAAGTCGCTTTGGGCTCGCGAGGTGACTGTGGCGTTCCAGCTCTTGCAGCGGTCTTCCCGTTGCTGGAATAGTGCTAAGAGAAATTACTTGAGCTAAGAGTCCGGTTGCATAGACCTGATCTAACCTACATCGTTGGCCGTTGGAGGAGTTGGGTAGTGGTGCAGTCGTCATGAAGAGGAAGTTCCGAGCTCCAGTATCGTAGAGCTCCTCTTGTAGCTCAAAGAATGTATCAGCCGTTGACTGAGCATCTATAATGACTCATGATGAGTATTATGCTTAAATAGTCGCCCAGTACTACTCGCCGAAAGTCGGACTGGCGACGTCATTGAAACCGATCCAAGTCACTTGAAACCGAGAGAGGAACCGAGATATTTGATGACTTGATCACCATTGGTACTTTTTTTTGAGGGAATGTAGACGAACCGAAGAGAGAGTTGTTCCCTTGCCAACACTCTTCAGAATCGGGATGGCCGGGGCTCCCCCGTTGCCTATACCTCTCCACTTGACGCCTGACACCATATATGTTGTTTCCTCCAATGGCATAATCGTAGACTAGAAGGGGACCCTCAGGGTAGTACTTGTTGATAAGGTGGCCTACCTTGAGGCGGAAAGAGTCGTTCAGATTGCCCCGCTAGGCCTGTCGGAATTTCAACTCACCCAGTTGGGTCTGAGTTCTTCTACCCAAGCATTCCCAGGGAACTCGACACCCAGCGGTCTTTCTTCAGTGGGCGTTTGGTAGGGCTCGGATCGCACAGAGCTGTACGAGTCTCCACTACACATGAAGGCGCCATCTTCAACATTTGTCGATGATTTACAATCATCAGCTTACAAGATGAAGAGATACTTCAAGCGGTTGTAGCCAGGCCATTCTTTTGAGACGTTTGCAGGATTCATGCTCGCTCAAAATTGTTGTGGCGAGTGGGAGATGGAGATCGTCAACTTCTTATGCACCGGTCGTCTGTCATTCCACGTGTGGTTGAAGATTCCCGCGGACACGGAAAACCAACTCCGCAGAAGTCAAACCTAGCCAACAACAGAAGACCCATTAATTAGGGAAGACAAGGTGGAAGTCTAGGCCAAACTACTTTAGGGAGCGTAAAGGTAGTACCAGCATCTAAAGTCTAGTAGCCATCTAGGATTGCTGACGCTTGGTCGGACTGTGGGAGGAACCCCTCGTTGAACTGTGAAACACCAAGAGTTGGTCAGCTGACGAGTCTCATAAAGCAATCGATATTTTCCTTACATTCTTGGAGATGCAGCCGTGTCTCGAACGCCGCAAGAGAGCGACCACTCGACGCCAGGCTCTGCACCGATCAAGCTCTTCCTCGGCCAGCGATTCCCGAACCTCGTCGTAATGATGAGGCGGCTGAGCTGGACCTAGAGCTAGCTGACTGCAGACTGGCGCGAAGAGTCCAAACTGTGGATTCTCGGCAACAGTGGCGAGGAAGGATGCCAGATCCTCGACGCATTCGGGTTCGATATGAGACCCCCAGGCCTCCATTTCAATCAAGGCGGAGTGGTGAACGTTTCCGACTTCCGCTAAGCACGAAGCGACACCCGACCTTGTCACTCTGAGGGGGATGTTGACTGTTTGGAGAGCTCTGCAGTTTTTGAGGAGATGGAGCAGCGTTTGCGTTGTTGCCTTTGGGATGGGGTTGAAAGGTGGGGTGTGCGATCGGAAGGACTGATTGGGACCACAGCTGTACCATAGGCAGTTGACCTGCGGCCACGACTTGCATAGGATTTGCCAATCCTCATCCGTAGGATTGAAGATATTGGGACTTCCGGGAGAGTCGAGGGCCGCGTCTTGAAGGTCGATGTCGAGGATTTGCAGGGACTTACATCGTGCGAGCGGCAGCAGAGCGCACGGTCCGTCTTCTTGCGTTGACGGTTCGATGTCGTTTGCAGCGAGGTTGAAATGGAAGAAGCGGAGTGCGGGGGCGTGATCCGCTACCACTTCGATGAACACCCGGATCGAATCCCAGCTCCACGAGAGTCTCGATCGAGGACTGGCAGACCATGCCATTGGATACCTGACGCTGATCTCTTGCAAATGGCTGAACGGCGCTGCTTGAAGCATGCTCCATGCCGTCATGAATTGACCTGAGATACTCGTCAACGCCGGAAATCCACATCCAACGATGGATGAACTGCAAAGAGAATGGAGTATGTTGTCCAAGGATAAGAACGCGAGCCTTTGAAGACTTTGGGACTCCGTCAAGGCGGTTAGGATTTGGGGGGATGCGATCGCGGCATCGTGGAGGACGACCTCTTCGAAGTCTCTCCGCCTGAGCAAGCACGCCAAGTCGATTACATCGTCCGGTGGTACTATATGAGGGGTAAGCTCCGCCACAAGGGCAAGGTCTTTGAGCTCCGGTGTGAATTGCTCCAGAGCTTGGATCAGCGGTGCCTATTCAAAGATGAAACGTCCTTCAATCGAAGATATATCAGCTTTTTGGATCCGCGGGCTCTCCCTGAGGAAGAATTCGCAACCCTCCGAGTCGAAGTTGTCGAATGGAACACATCGTAGATTATTTAGACGGGGAAAGAGGAATGCGGTGTGAGCTGAGGGACTATACCCCCATCGACTGCGTTCAATGTAGGTCGTC